ATATATATATACATACAAGGGATATAAAAATATAATTATCTAAGGATTAATAGAAAAAATTAACAGGAATAAAAACGATACCAATAATATTGCACAGTCAACATCAAATTAATTTTTTTTTGAAGAATTATAAAATACAACAAATAATAGATAATAAATATACAGATTGCATACATGTGCGCACGCAACAAACGATGAGCAAGTGTTAAAATTCTAGGATGCAGCGCGCATGCGCAGCTTAACTTTTCCGCCTGCTAGCAGAGTTAGCAGTGAGGGCTAACCCCTGAGCAGCCAGCTGTCGGATTCACTCAGTCTGTCCCTTCGAGTGTTGTCGGATGTGCTAGCTAACCTGCTTTCTTTCCGTTGAAAAACACAGAACACCTGGGTTGCTTTTGTTTCCTTCAGGACCAAGCTGCTCGACCCTGCGAGCCACCAGCGGTATTTTAGTTGTCGCCGCCGTCACGACAGATAGAGAAGCTGTGGGACATGGCCAGACCAGAACAAGTCCTGGTGCTGGAGCCGCAACACGAACTGAAATTCCGAGGTAACGTTGAGGCGGAGCTCAGGGCCGTGGTTGGATCACTAACGTTAGCCGTTAGCCTGCTAGCTGCGGATCTCTGTATCCACCATTAGCTTCACTGCTGCGCTGTTACCTTATCATGTTTTTTAAAATGTATAATTAATAAGTGTAAACTGTTTCAGTCAGGAGAATCCGCTCCGTGTGCGATGACTGTAGCTAACCGTATTAGCGTTTAGCTAATCGAAGCTATCTGTCATTGCAGCGTCAGGGCAGGCCCGACGTGTCATTTACTCCTATTCTCTCTTTATTTACTTCGTCTTTCAATATCTCACAGTTTGGGAAAGTAGACTACATTTATTCATACTCTGGTCGTTATTGTCTGCAACGACATGCCTGTCGAGAAGTGACATTTCTAGCATTTTCTACAATCTGCGAGTCATCAGCCTTATTACAATGCTTTTTCACCCTACAACAAATGAAGCTAGAAACGTCTGAGAGATTTACTCCAAACTCTCAATCCGAATTATTTCGCAGTTTTTCTGTCCTAAACGGAAACCACAGGCCGAGTGCCACAAATAGTAAATGTTTTCTTTATCTAACCGATTTAGGAGTGAGTCAAATGATGTGTAGCCTTCACTGAAATGGAGTAATAAAAGGCTGTACTCTGATGATTGCAGAGCCTTGACTATTGAGATGAGCCAATACAAAATGTATACAACCACTATTTGTGCACAACAACAAAAAGCGCACTCAGGTGGTTCAAAACATCCATCCATTATCTTTACCCGCTTCTTCCTTTTCGGGTCACTGGTGCCCATGTCCAGCAGTCACTGCGCAAGAGGCGGGGGACACCCTGGACAGGTCTCCAGTCCCATCACAGGGACACGGAGACAAACGAGGCAATCATTCACACTCATCAGCCTCACATGTTTTTGGTCTGTGGGAGGACACCAGAGTTCCCAGAGAAAACTTGTGCATGCACAGAGAGAACATGCAAACTCCACCCAGAAGGGTCCGCTGCCGGGATTCGATCCGGCAACCATCGCTGAGAGGCAACAGCTCTACCAACTGAGCCATCGTGCATCCCGTCGTTCAAAACACATCGCTAATATCGAGCTTTAGTGGCAAAAGGATTACACACTTCATGCTGAAGTTATAAAACGTGATTGGTCTGATGGGATTAACAGATTACAATGCCACAAAAAAGAAAACATCAGTAGCTTAAAGGTCATTCAGTACTTTTTGCTGAGGGTGGGGCACATGTTGCTGTTCTTTCTTCAGTTTTAATGTTTGGTTTACATTTTCCAAGGGGATGATCTGTGAAGTGCCTCATAAATACCACACACATGATTATGTGCATGCACTTTTTAAAAAAAAAGGAGCTGTGGATTAATCTGCAAAACCTCTCGAATATTATACAAGTCAAGATGGAGTGTTGGAGAATTGTTTGGAGAATTAGCTGAGTTGCAGAACCTGGAGTCACGGGACTTCTCTTTGTCTTCCTCAGGCCCTTTTACAGATGTTGTCACTGCCACTCTGAAGCTCACCAACCCCACAGACAGAAATGTGTGTTTCAAAGTCAAGACGACCGCACCTCGCAGATACTGTGTGCGCCCCAACAGTGGCATCATTGATTCGGGAACCTCCATAAACGTCTCTGGTTTGTAACTATCTTTGTTCTGAACTGCAACATTGATTTTTGTTTGTTTGTTTCCCATACAAACAATGTTTTAGATTGAGCAGATGTAGACGCTGGAGCAAAATGATGCACTTCCTCTGAAACAACACTGCAAAATTGTTTCTGTTCTTCCATACTGCAATAGGAGCAATAAAGTGTACGCAATCAGATTTGTGCAGTTCCACTTATAGAACAGCCATGCTGTTCTGTTAGCCAGCTTGTTTTGTGTTTCAGCTCCAAAATAAATAATTAAACCTCCATCATTTAAATAGCTGTTGTCACTTGAGATGATGTTTTGAAATCACTAAGCTCTGAGATTCTTTGCTTTCTGTTCAAAAACTACACGCAATAGATTTTTTTTTTAATTAAAATGTGTCTAATCTGTTACAAATATAAGTTAATTTGTAATGAGGAAATCTAATAAATGTCCCGCAATAAGAATGGTTTTGTTTGTGTGACACGTGAGCTCCTTTCTCTTCTTTATTCTGAATCGATGTTGAAAACTGAGACTGTTTAGGTGCAAGACTTCTGTCAGGTATACGATCAATCTGATGGGTATTTAAATCTTTGGAAGCCGAGTAAACCCCATCTCGTCTGCTCCTCCACAGTTATGCTGCAGCCTTTTGACTACGACCCCAATGAGAAGAGTAAACATAAATTTATGGTGCAGTCCATGCTGGCTCCCAGAGACATGACTGATATGGAAGGAGTTGTAAGTACTGGAGCGCGAGAATTGATTTTGGCATCTTATTTTATTTTGTAAAAAAAAAAAAAGTAACAGAATTAAACGTTTTGAGGTTAACCTATAATTTCTATGATAATCGATCCAAGATATTCCAACCAGCTTTTATGTAGTGTTTAGCATTTCTGTGCAATGTTTCGTTTTTTAAATGAGAAGTTGCATGAACAGTTTAGCTACTGGGATGCTTACAAGGCATTGCTGCAATATAACCAAACCCTCATGTTCGTCTTTTCTTGTTCTCGTCTGCAGTGGAAGGAGGCAAAGCCCGAAGAGTTGATGGATTCAAAGCTGAGATGTACATTTGAAATGCCTCTAGAAAATGACAAAACTGTAGGTTTAAACTCGTGTTTTCAGCCATCGTAAACATTCTTTTCAGCATGATCGTTTCATTTTATCACATCTAGATTTATTACATCTTATATCACAGTCATTGTCAACTTGAAGTTTATTGTCAAAGAAATAATGAAAGGTTTTCATATCTTGTGTTTGAGTAAAATTGATCCTCTTGTATTAAGTATCATTGTTCAGTCCATCCTGTGTCATCCATTACATGATTGATTTTATATTTGTACTTGTATCTCCGTCCCTGTCACATGTGTGCACGTCTCTTTATTTACCGTTTCCACTCTCATCCCACCGATCGCCCCACCCTCGTTCTCTCCACAGCATGAGAGCGAAAGCATCAAACCCGTGTTTTCCTCTACCTCTGTTAAGACCGAGCACTCGGCGCTGCCCAAGTCAGCCAGCGCCTCGCTGGATGACGGGGAGGTGAAGAAGATCATGGAGGAGTGCAAGCAGCTGCAGATGGAGGTGCAGAGGTTACGGGAAGAAAACAAACAAATCAGGGTGAGACGCACTCAAACTAATAAGAAACTGTGCTCCATCTTCTCATGTAAATAACATGAAAACAGGTTTAATTTCATTTTACACAACGAGGGCTGCAGTTATATATTTCAGTAATCCGGTGTTCCATTGAGTAATCCATCAGTTAATCAAGTAATTGAAAGACGTGTTTACATCGGCCGTTTACAACTTTTATACCGACTTTTACCTACAATCAAAGCTGGGCTGTCCTCGTCAAAGGTAACAACGCCTCTGATGGATGCGTAGCTGAATGGGAGATTAAATCAACTGGAACTCTGTGTTTGCTTGAGTGCAGCATCTTAGCCAATGACCATCCATAACCTTTTGTCTGTGTTCTTCTGGAAATATTTGTCTGACACCGAGCCATTTTTGTTAAAAATAAAAAACCAGGGTCTTGACTCAACATTAGCAAACAGTTAATAGTTTGGTGGCAAATGGTTCTCGTTCCCGGTTCCACTCACCGATTGTCTTCAAAACTCGCTGTCTGATTCCATGTTTATGAAACTGTCACTCAGGTTTGAAGGTCACAAAGGGCAGATGTGGATAGCTTAGTTTAGTATAATGGGGGGGGGGGGGTTGTATGATTCAAGTTGTGAGAATAGCAACTTGAGCGCTGTTCAGGCTGAAGAACAGAATTTACTCACGTCTCAGGGAGTTTGTGTTCTGAGCTGTTTTGTGCGTTTGTCTCGTGCTCCACACAGGAGGACGACGGTCTGCGGAAGAGAAAGGTGACACCAGTGTCTTCTCATCACTCTAACACCATGGTGACCATGACGAAGGATGAAGGCCTGAGCACTCGCGTCCTGGCATTATGCTTGCTCTTCTTTGTGATTGGAGCCATCGTTGGCAAGCTGGTCCTGTAGAGACAAACAAAGCAGTGACGGACGGACGGACGCGGTGCTCCGAAGGGCACGTACCAATGACGTCAACGGGGATGTCTCCTGGGTCTATGTTAATCTGTTTCCTTGTTTTCTTTAATATTTAAGGCAATACATTATGGTGGCATGTTTGGATGAGAAATCACTGAAGGTGTAAAAAGAAAACAAAGGAAAGCAGTCCCAAGTTAAAGCACGAGGGTGAGCTTTTTCTGTCACATGCCTGGTTTTTTTCCCCGTTTCTTTTTTTGTTGAATAATCATGACTTTTGATCTCTGTTTTCCGTCCTCTCCTTCCTAAATGGTCTTCCCCAGCTTGCACAGGTAACGGTTATCAGTGTGGAAGTGGCATCACACTGGCTGAATGTTTAGTCTTTCATTGATTCCTAAGTTTTAAAGATCCTCACTCACGTGTGTCTAATTTCATGTTTCTTCCACTCACTGATAATGTACCAAGAGGTGAACGAAACTGATCAGTGAAAGACCTTTTTGATTTTATTTTTTTAAGCAAACTTAATGTATCGTCTTCTAAACAGTTTGTGGTCAAATTATATAAATATATACATATGTATACTGTATAAATGAGCCAGTAGAAGCTGCTGGTGTGTGTCTTGTTGATTATGCTTTCTGCAGGAGTGCCGATGTGGCTGAGTGTAGGTTTTTATGTGAGAAGGTTGGATAAGGTGAAATTTAAAACAAGGGAAGAGAGTTAGCATTAAACAAACGTGTCATTTGAACAGTTTTCCTGTATCCAGAAAAATGGAGAGAAAAAATGGGGTTGCTTGTTGAAACTCGCGAGCAAGACTTAATGATCTCATTTGCTGTCCAGTCCCAAAAAATCTGTGTAAACGTGCTTAAAATCAATTTTTGGGCCACTAATAAAATTGTGAATTAATAAACAAAAGATTATTGTAGTAAATTCATGCTGCACGCTGATCTAAAAGCTGATGTTCAATGATCACGGATGAAATTTCAAATCCACGGCCGGTCATGCAGACCAGTTTATACAGTTTTAATAAACATGGTGTGTAATAAAAAGTCTTGGCTACCTTGTCTATTTTTGCCCAAATTAATTTAGTCTACTAGTAAGTCACTGTTCTTTACTTGTTCTGTATTTGATCACAGAATAATTCTGTTGTAATATTCAGATGCTCTGAAATACTTTATGCACTCCTCAGCCTGCATGAAATGGCCTGGATTTGGTGTTCTGGTTTTTCTTGGGCGTTGGCGAAGTAAAACAGGAGTTGTCTTCTCAGAAGGGACTATCTTGAGTCTTGATTTATGTTTGTGTGTTTCATTTTTAATCATCCTTTCCTTTTGTTCCCTGTTTGGCACTGCTGGTTATGAGATGACACAGATCTACTATGTTGGGTATCACATGACCATCTCCATGAACTTTAAAAAAAAAAAAAAAATTTGTTGCCTGAAGGAGGTTCACGAGCAGAGACACTTGGTTATGGATGTTTGAGGACTGACCTGTACACACTACATTTAAAAGAAAATTCTTCTGATCACCTACATCTATAGAGTCACAACAGTGTAATACCCATTGGATACTCGTATGTACATAAAAATACTTAAAATTAGCATACTGTAGTTGACAATAATTGGAACAGCAGTCATGGATCATGTAGCATCATAATGAATTAAAATGCATAAACCCCAGCTGCTGTTTTCTGTGATTTATTTTTTCATGGTAGTTCAGTGTGTGTGGCTGGTGAAACAGTTCAGAGTAAATGAAAATAATTCAAGTGATTCAAGATTTGTCCAGTAGATGGCGCCAGAGAGACAGGAGGCGACGCCCACTTCTGTTGTTTAGCAACTGACGTCATCGGGCCTTATCCAGGAAGTAGAAAAACGTCAACAATCCTTCCAGGTTGGGGTGAACTTTTGGGACTAGCAAAGCTTAAATTTCTCCGGAGGTCCGTCTCGTTCACCTAATTTCACAGCAAGAGTTTTGTTGTACGTTAGACATGTCGTTGTTTGGCAAGATATTCGGAGGGGGAGGAAAAGGAGGAAAGGGACCGAGTCCACAGGAGGCGATCCAGAAACTCCGCGAAACGGAGGAGATGCTAACGAAGAAGCAGGAGTTTTTAGAGAAAAAGATCGAGCAGGAGCTGCAAATCGCAAAGAAAAACGGCACGAAGAACAAAAGAGGTGAGATTTAAGGGAGCGTGTCTTCTGTTAGTGTCAGTTTCTCACGTCTGTCATAACAAAAATCCGAGATGGCAGCTAGGACGTTAGCCTCGGTGGCTAAAGTTTCCCTTGAGCTGTTCCTCATTACTGCATCTACCTCGGCCCACACCCAAGGTACGGACGTATATTATTCACTGAGAGACATATTTATTGAGAAGATGATTAGGTAAAGTTATTTCCGTGACCAATAAGCAGTTTGTGTCTCAGTGTACCGTTTCAGCATTTTGAGTGATAATCTGTTCCTTTATTTTAATTACAGTCTATTAAAGAAGTGAATTACCTTAAAGTAAAAAAAAAAGTGTTGAGCTCTGACCTCCATTCTGTCCTATATAAACTTTTATTAATTGTTTCGTTTAAAAAATGCCCCCAAAAGCAAAGACAACAGTCCAAGTAGTTATTTGGGATTCCTGTTGGGACAGTATATGTAAAAATGACACCTTAAGACTCATTTCTAACACTAATACTTTACCCTGAGCATGTAGCTTGTGATTTTAAGGACACTTTTAAATAGTAACAGCTTTATTAAAGTTTACTTTACTATTAACATGTTCTTAAAATGTTGACCTAATGCTATCAATGAACTTTGTTGAGGATATTGTGTTTCTTTTTTTATAATGGATGCACCTGATGCTTGTGTGTATTGTCTTTATGCTATTGTTTCCTGTTCCGGTTCAACAAATGGTCGACATCAACTCAGCATGACACACAGGAGTTCACGTGTGTCGTCATGACTACTGTGGCTTACTGAGTCATATTTTCTAGTGTTTTTTTCTGGTGATCATAAGGTGTCATAATTTAAAGAACAGTCCAACTTCTGGTTCTTCAAAACTCATCTTCGCTCATTCAAGAGACCCATTATTTATTCTGAGTAGATGCATTTAGTGTATTAAACATCTAATGTAGTGATTCTTAACACCACAAATGCCACATGTTCTCGTAAGTAATGAGACCACAAGAAGTTAAATGCATAAAACAGTCAGTTTGAACTGAGAAAATAAATGTTTCCAGAGATCCAGCAGTGAAGCAGAAGACTAGTTTTATGCTTCAGTCTAAGAAAGAAGAGAATAGCTTTATTGTCAATACATGTCACATGTAAAAAAACATCAGGTGCATCTCTCTGTTCAAAACTTTAAAGAATAAAGACAAGCAGCTTTATAAATTATATTTACAGTAAGTGGCCAAAGTAGCTGCAATTCAAAATTATTGCACAGTTCTCGCATCAGTTTCTGTATAAATTGTTGATGAACAGAATAATGAATTTCACAGAAATGCACGACGAGTCAGGAAGTTACGTTGTCGGTGGTTAAGTTTTTTTTGATGGCCCGAGGATAATAACTGTGTTTTTAGTCTGGATGTATCTTCAATGACTTGTAGCGTTTGTCAGAAGGCGTCAGTTTGAACAGGTGATGTGTGGGATGGATCGCTGAGGAGGTCCGTGGACCTTCTCAAGCACCTGGAGCCGGCGATCTCCTACAGGGAGGGCAGAGGAATGACTTTCTGGGCCGTGTTTGTGACCTGCTGTCTGCAGCCGAGCACATCATGCAGAGATGACACTATGGTGGATCTGTAGAAGGCATCAGCAGCCTTAAATCTAACTTGTTCTTCCTGAGGATCCACAGGAAGTGTAGTCTTTGCTGGTTCCAGTCTCACCTAACTCGCTCGCACTCTATTTTGTCTGTGCGGTCTCAGTAGTTTTCTGTGTAACTCGAGTCCTTCTTGATGCAAGCGGTATGATCAGTGCAGCCACCCAAAACATCCGCAGTGTCATTTTGTATCCCAAGACAAACGCAACACAGCAGTGGACAAATAAGTGAATTAAAGTGAGAAAACGTTCACCAGCCTCTTTCGTGGTTTGCAAAACTGAAGTGGTCGAGTCCACGTCCCTCGGCCGGTCGGAGTCTGTCAATCGTGTCTACACCTCATTACAGTACGCTGGTGTTGGTTTGTGTGTAGCCACTAATGGATACACTTTTTTTAAAGGACATGACAAAAACAAATGTGGTTGTGAGGGTAAATGGTGTGTTTGATTTTTGTGAAGGAGACGCTCATGGTTGATGTCGCTCCCTGGCCAAACAACCTTCAGTCTGCCAACGTCAACTCTTCGGGTAGGAGTCGAGCCGAGCAGGGCCAAGTCGAGCCCATGTGATGGAAATGTATTATTTATTGATCTGCTTCTTGGTGCATTCAATATTGTTTGACCATATTAATAATCATAATCCTTTTATTACTTTAAGGTCACTGTGAATGAGATTATGATGCTTATCAGCCCCGTGAGGAACCTTGCGGGCTGCTTTCTTTTCTGTGAGGCTGTTTGGTGCCTGGTTTGGTACAGGGCATACGGGGAGGGGTAGGAGACCCCCTCGACCCCCCAACTGATGAGTTTCGATAAAATTATCTCCTTCGTTTCAGGAAGCCAGAACAGGTCAGGAACTCTGAATGAAAAGTTGTTAATAATGAACTCTGAGCTTTGACTTTCTGTGAGTCTGGCTGTTCTCCAAAGCTTTCTAATAAATTGAATGAAATCTGCACCTGATTGTTTGTGAGTCCATTTTTTTTTATTTTTTTTTTTTAACGACACCCATGAAAGAAGTATGTTCCAATATTCAGACTTTTCTTGTTTTTTTGCAACTGAGGCGGTCAATGTTTTGAAATTTTAGTTGACAGTCAAATATGATTTTATTTAACAACCAAGCCTGTCTTGTGGTAGTGATGGTGAATAAACTAAATCTATCTTCTGCTGGACTTTGGGCTGACGAAAAGCAGACGTGTAATAAAATCACGTTGTTTCCGCAGCAGTCTGGCCGTCCTCACTCCTTTTTACTTCTTTCTGTTCTTCCCTCCTCAGCGGCGCTGCAGGCTTTGAAACGGAAGAAGCGATATGAGAAGCAGCTCGCTCAGATCGACGGCACGCTGTCGACCATCGAGTTCCAGAGGGAGGCTTTGGAAAACGCCAACACCAACACAGAAGTGCTGAAGAACATGGGCTTTGCTGCCAAGGCCATGAAGTCTGCCCACGAAAACATGTAAGAGAAACAGAGTCCCTGTGGAAACGTTTTCATGTTCCAAGTATTTTCTTGTGACAAATCCTGGTCATTGTTTTATTTTTTATTTTTTTGTCTCTTAACAAACAAAAACCATTTAAGAGGCACATGACTGAATTATTTTTCCCCGTCATCGTTTCAGGGACATCGACAAGGTGGACGACCTGATGCAGGACATAACAGAGCAGCAGGAGTTGGCTCAGGAAATCTCTGAAGCCATCTCTAAACCTGTTGGCTTCGGAGAGGAGTTTGATGAAGTGAGTCTGAACCTAACATGAGATTTCATGATAACTCTTGATTCAGACTAAGTTTTCAAACGTATGCATCCGAGTCAGACAGAAGGATGGACAGTGGTTGACAGTTGTTCAGATTATTTGTTTTGTTACACATTATTTATTGAGTCGTTACTCTGCTGTCCAACGGACTCTGAAATACTGCCAGCAGATGGTTTTTAGTCATCAGGCTGATCTGACCTGTTCTGTCTTAAACTCTGTCATCTGACTCTAATTTAGTTCCAAATACAACACAAACGTCTGATCTGACTGTTTAGTCCGACTTTGGAAGAAAACTCTTCATCAGAAGTCCTGGAGACTCTTCTTCGCGGCACTTTGCTCTGCTTTGAATCTTTGATTACTTTTCTCTTTAAGGATGAGCTGCTGGCAGAGCTGGATGAGCTGGAACAGGAAGAGTTGGACAAAAACCTGCTGGAGATTGGAGGACAGGAGAACGTTCCCCTCCCCAACGTGCCTTCTACTTCACTACCTTCCAGACCCGGTGAGAGTCCTGCGAGGAGCCACGTCTGTTGATTTCTGTGCCAAACAGTTTGTCTAATAACATTAAGTGTTATTA